GGCGCGTGCAGGACAGGCGCCCGACCACGGGCGTCCGGGCGGGGGTGTCTCCCGCGGTTCCCCGGGCGTCTCATTCGGTCGCCCCCTCCGGTCGCCGTGACCAACGGGCTGCCGGCCTGGCGGGGTGCTTTTCCGAGTGTCCATCGCAGACGCTGTGGGGACGAGTGGGCGCGGCCAAGGACGGGGAAGCCCGCTGGACCGGAGGACCCGCGCCGAGACAGCGACCCGTCGGGACGCCTCCGCACGCGTCCGGCCGCGCTCCGCTCCCGCCCACCCGCAGCGGCGTCTCGCTGCTTTGCGCTTTTGCTAAAGTGGCGTGGGTGGTGCCTGGGGGACGTACGTCGGGTGCTTTTCTTGTGAAATTGTCTGGAAGCAGTGTCGGTTCCATCACCCCCTCCCCCTTTGTTTTAAAAGGCCGAACTCCGAGCAGCTGTGTTTTTAGCACTAGAGGAGCAAGAGAAAGTAGAGGTATGAATCTGCACGTTTTAATGTGACCGTTTTCATTTACGTTTCACTTTTAACTATGTAAAAGCCGTTCTGCAATACTGCTTATGGTGGTGCATAGCCAAGGATAATTTCTAACTAGTAAGGACTACATTTGTTATAAAGGGAGAGTCAAAATTATTCTTTTCGTGTATAGTTCAGAATTTCGGAACAATCTCAAGAAAGTTTAGGACCTTGGTAACTCTGAGGCCAGTGCTATCTTCAGTGTCATAGATCCCCTCTCGCAGGGGAGACCTGAAACACAAGATCACAGCGGTTTTTGAAGAAAAGCTTCTGCTGTCAAAGTGTTTACTGCAGGATTCTTGAGGACCTTGAACACGCTTGTATGCATTGTGAATCCCCACCAGGTGGGAGTGATGTGGATGCAGTTTTTCCCAAAACTATCAGGCCACCCACTTATTTTTAAATGATGTAATCTTTATCTTATTGTCCCAAGTCCACCCAACTCTCTGTATTTAAGCGTACTTAGTTTTTTCTCTACCCCAAGTCCCACCGCCGTCCTGAGTGGATATGCGGGAAAACGTCCACACGAATCGCTCCACCGTTGCGGTCTTCTCGGTTTTCTGTGACATCTCCTCGCCTCTCCCTTCTTTAGACCTAGATGCCTACTCCTTTTTCACTTCCTGAAGGTCGGCAGTTCTCGTCCAGGCATCAGGCTTCTTCGCTGCCTTTCGGTCCTGACGGGTCTGGACCCCATGGTCCATATCTCAAAAACCCTGGCTACCTTGCCTTCCAGCCATACTTGGTCTGGAAAAAATCCTGATGGTCATTTAATTCAGCAAACTCAGCCCCTTCCCTGTTTGTACGCGTGCACGCTAGAGCAGAGTCACCCAGGCCTGTGGATTGCTGTGTCACTGCACTGCGGGCACAGCCTGAGGGAGATCCTGAGCAGCCCCGGGCGCTGCCCTGCGCGGCAGCAGCGCCCACTCCAGCCCGCCTCGTCCCCCGCCCCACCCGCTTTTCACGCTGGACCCGCGGTCTTGCCTCTTCCCTTCGCGGGCAGGTGAAGCAGCGGGTCCTCGCTCGCGTGGCCTCCAGCCTCCCTGCGTCCGTGTGTGTCTGGCTGCCCCCTTCCCGCTCCGTGGAGGGCGCTGTGTCTTGGCCAGGCGTGCTCTGGGTTTCCCTGGCGACCATCGAGATTTGCTGCGTCTTTGGCCCCTCCCTCTTCGCTTGCTTCTTTCTCGAGTGGAAACAGGTTTATATCTCAAGGAGAGAGCTGTTTCCCTTGGGTCGTGCTCTGCTTCTGACACTCTGTTTTTCCTTCACAGCCAGGTTTCAAAAGAGTGAGCGCGTCTCATGCTGTTTTTCGTGTTCTGACGCCCTTCAGTCCGCAGCATCTTAAATCCATCTCTGCTGTGCCTCAGGCGTTTCTTCTGCTGCGGTCAAGAAGAAGCCGAATTGAGTGTGTCTCAGTCCTTACCTGCCGCAGGCGCTCTTTGTGGTGTTTGACATTCTTAATTCCTCCTTTCTTCCTGAAAATCTCCTTGGACTTCTGGGACTTTCTGTTCTGCCGTTTTTCTTGTGCCTCGTCGGCGGCTCTTCGGTTTCTTCAGCGCGATCTTTTCCCCGTGCGCCTCCCTCGACTTCTCGCAGCGGTGACTCGTGGTTCCCATTCTGCGTTCTGTCCCTGGCAGACCTTAGCCACACAGGACCTTTAGCCCCGAGTCCCTGGTCCATAGCGCCCCACTGTGCTTCACACCTGTGTGTCACACTGCCGCCAGGACGACTGCCGCGTGCCTTAGTGGCATGGACGTTACCGACTGAAGCAGAAACTCCGGGAGACCTGGCTCTCCTTTCCCCACGTCCGCTCATCGCCTGGTTCTGTGTGTCGGTTCTCGGCCGACCCACTGGCCTGTGCTCAGCGGTTCCCCTTCCTGTCATCTTCCGCCTGCTCCTGACACCGTCTCCACGGGGCTCCCTGGTTGGCTGTCCATGAGACACATTCAATCTTGCCCCTCATTTTCTCTCAGTGCTTCAGCTGGCTTCGTGTCTTCACATTTCCTGGGCCAGCCTACTGAGGACCTTCGCGAGCTTCCCCTTCCTAGTCTCTTTTGGGTTTTCTTAAAAGTTTATCGAGGTAGAATTGACGTACAGTAAACTCAACATATGTAAAACATATGATGTGATACGTATTTATGCGGCCATGGAGCTATCAAGGTAGTGAACATGCCCATAACCCTCAAAAGTTTCCTCAAGCCGCTTTGTGATACACCTCTCACCCCTCACTCGGCACCCCGTGCTTTTAACAGCTGTACAAATGGAACCATACAGGACGTGCTCTTTTTTTTTTTGATCTGGCTGTGTTCATTCAGCATGACGCATTTGAGAGTCGTTCACATTGTTGCTGTATCACCAGTTCATTCCATTCGATTCATGTGTAGCACTCCGTTGTATGAACACGTGACTGCTTAGTCGTTCACCTGTCAGTGGACATTCAGGTTGTTTCCAGTTTTCAGCTCTTAGAAGTGACGTGGCTGTGAACGTTCACGGACCTCTTTGTTGGGGGGTCTGCTCTTTCTTTGCCAGTGAGGAAATGCCTGGGCTGGGTCATACGGTTGGGGTCCTTTAACTTGGTGACACTACCAGACTGCCTTCCAGGGCGGTTGCACCATTTTCCTTCAGCTGTGCACGAGACTGCCACCATGCCTGTGACTCGTGGGGTCTGCTTAGAGGACTCAGATGTGTTAGTGTTTCTCTTTATTCAGATAAATGTCTAATGACAAAAGTAAGTTGGTCTGTGCTCTACGTAAAACCATCGCGCACACTGCTGACGGGCTGGGAAACGCACACGTGTCAAGTCCTGTTCGCAGTGAGCCTGCCACCACTGGTGGGTGTCGGAGATGACAAAATAGCAAACCATATGCTTGAAATAATCAATTGTCTCTGTAAGCAAATTTGATGTCATTTCACCAGTATTTGAAGGTCTAGCTTCTAAAGCAGTTTAACCAATTTGTCAAACATTTAAAGTTAAAAAATGCAAGCCTTTGTGTACAGTCTTGTTTTATTAACTTTGAGATGTTATCAAGTAACATGAAGCAGTTCTTTCAGTAATTAACAGTTGTGAAATGGGGTTCACCATAATTTTACGAGTGACAGTATTTTACTTAACATTTGCCAAAAAGTTAAACTAATGCACATTTTGTGGCTGTTCTTAAGATAAACACATGACACAGTATTTTATTTTTTAACAGAACAAAACTCCTTTAGTCAATGAGAGCCTGAAAAAGTTTTTAAATACAAAAGATGGTAAGATGTTCAGCTTTTCTTATTTCTTTTGTCTGTCTCTGAATTTTCAAATGTTGACTCCATTTGGGAGAAATCAGGAATTTCAGATTAGTTTTTGAAGTCTCTGATTCTTATAGGTCTTTATTTTTAAATTGTATTTTATTAGACAACAGTTAAGTTGCTTGAAATAGTATTAATTATGGGAAATTGTGGGATAAAACCAATTTTACTATAAGAAGCAGAACACTAGTTCACTTATGAAATGTCACATTATCTTACCTAGTAGTTACTTCTAGACTGGTGATCCAAATGAAAAAGAGACTGAGACTTTCATTACTTAATTATATTATTCAAAGAGAAGGATTCATGAGCAGACAATCCAGAGACCTCTTCTCTCCCACTGACTTGGTCAGTCCCGTTGACAGTGTCAGGGAAGAGGCCTGGGCGTGGAGGACGCACTCACCCCCTCTGCTCTCCCCCTTTGCAGGCCGCCTGGTGGCCAGTCTGGTTGCAGAATTTCTTCAGTTTTTTAATCTTGATTTCACCTTGGCCGTTTTTCAACCTGAAACTAGCACAGTAAGAATGATGATTTTTATATCTACTTTTATGACCTTTGATAGAAATGAGTTCATTATAAGTTGAAAGTTAATAGTTGAGAACTTATAGTGTCTTGTGTAAGCGTTACTTTAGGTAGTTATCTGTTTTTCTTAAAAGCCATGAGTTGTCAGCTGGCACCAGTGTCCCTGCTTCATGTAGCCGGAAAGGAGTGTTATCGTGGAGTTAATTTGTTACGATGTTAGACCGCACCTCTTTACGCAGGTAGAGACTTGGTAAAAGGATTATATAATTTAAAAAAATGACTACTGCGGAATTCCAAGTAGAAATTTGCTCATGTGGCGGCATTGTATTTTATGTGTTTTTAACACACACGAGCAACTCTGTGCTTCTTGTGAAAGGAAAAAATGTCATTAAACAGCGCGGGTATTTGAAGGCACTGATCCATTCCGTGCGTGTGTATTTGGGAGTAAGCCTCGGATGGGGTGAACTTGTGGCTCCCATGGCCACTCTCGGCCCCTCCAAAAATACGTGTAATTTTTTAAAACAGACATTTCATTCATTAGCAAAAACGGTATCTGAGTTTAGATATGTCTTTAAGTTCCGGAAATATCTTTAAAGTCTGAAAAGAATTTTGCTATATTTTGGTGACCTTCTTCTCTAGTTTCAGAGTCTCGAAGGCCGAGAGAATTTAGCCCGGGACCTGGGGATCGTCGAGGCGGAAGGCACAGTGGGCGGGCCCTTACTGCTGGAAGTGATCCGGCGCTGCCAGCAGAAGGGGCGAGGGCCTGCGGGTGTGGAGGTGAGCGCAGTCCCCTCTCCTCACCCTTCCTGCCTCAGGCGGCGGCTCCCCAGTGTGCCATGCGGTCACTGCACACCTAGTGAATCGGGGCTTCAATAAAAAAGGCTGTTCCTTGAAAACAAAGCAAAACAGACTCAGGTTGTAGAAGCACACAGCTGTGGCCACCGCCTCTTCTGTGGCCTGACACGCAGGAGTGTGGGGCCGGCTGTGCACTGCCCGTCCCAGCCTCTCCACTGACTGCTGCTGCTCCCCCAAACCCCGGCCCCCCCGTTCCTCCTCTGCGGGAGGGGGCAGCAGAGCTCACCGTGGGCGCCGAGGCCCACGCACGGGGCGGCACGTGTGAAAAGCCGAGCGCGCTCACCTGTCCTGGGCGTCTTTTTATTACTCTTTTAAACAGAGATGGGCTGCATTGTAGTCTAGTTGATATTTTTTTAACAGAGAGGCTGTTTAAAACTAGACTTAAAACTGTTTAAGCAATTGATTTTGCTTAGTTTCCAAACATTTTCAAATTTGGTTTTTTGAGTAGCCATTGCCTTTCTTACCCTTACCTTTTCTTTCCAGAAATGCTGCTGATGAGGCTAATGGTCTGATTTCTGTTTACACGCTTTAGCTTTGTGTAAGGACACTGTTCGCAGGCGCAGGCAGCGTGCGCTCCGGACGTCTGGTTGAACGTGCCTTTTAGTCACAGGGTCATAGGTGGGAATGCGGAGGGCGATGGCTGCCATTCCCTCCTTTCGCAGGCTCAGTGTATTTTCTGTTAGAATCTTTGAAAATCAGTAAAGCTTCACTGCATCTAGGAGCAATAGATTCTTTTAACTGAAAGGTAAAACATCTCGCGTTCTAGAAGAGTTGAGAGCTATTCGAGATGAGATGCTTTCGCAAGAAAATGGGTATCTGATGGTTTTATGATTATCCGTTTTAATAATAAATACTAAGCAGGAGACGAAGTATACGATAAGCGATCAGTTCTAAACATTTGGAGTAATAGTTTTTAGTTAAAAGGGGGCAGTGGTGGCTTCGTGTTGGAATTCTGTGATGTTCAGCGTTCCTGGGGGGATTGGGAAGGTGTTCCAGAAAGGGCTTGGATGCCTGAGGGAGTGGGGAGCAGAGCCACCCCTGGGAGGGTGCGTCAGGCAGTCAGCCTGTCCAGAGCACGGTTGTCACCGCAGCTCATGCTTTCACTGGCACTCATTCCTGATGACTTGACCAGTGTTTCCTGTGCGCTTAATCATATGGTGGGCACTGTGCTAGCTGCTAGTGACTGGAGGACCCGTGAATTTGAGGAACCCCGCCCGAACAGTTTGGTTCCTGCCCTCTCCTGAGTGTGCACTAGGTGGCAGCGACATCTCTTTTGACCTCGGTGGCCCTGACTCTGTCTCTGTCAGCCCTTTCGTTTCCTTTCCTGGTCGCTCTTGGCTTCACCTCACGCAGTGGCGGTTGCCCACATTATCCCCCTGGCTCGCTGTCCCTCTGCCAGCCTGCCAGCTGCAGCCTGACTCTGAGCCAGCCTGCTGGGGGCACCTCCCTGCCCTGTCCTGCCCTGTGCATTTGTCATCAGTCAGCCGGCCTCCCCGGGCCTCAGGCGCCTCGCCTGCGACATGGGGCTTATGCGGAGCTCTGGGAACGGTTCCTGGCACGTAGTGACCGTGGAAGCGTTTGCCGCCATTCTTGCCGTTCCCGCTGCTCGGATGACTCCGTAAGGCCAGCTCGATCCTCTCCCCGGGCTTGAGACCCGAGCTTCAGACTCTTCACACAGTGCCCGCCGGTTATCCCTCTGGGAGGCTGGACCCTCTGCGAACACTGCTTCGTTCTCGCTTTGGACAGCGCGAAAGCCACACAAGACCAGCTGTACCTCCCCGTCCGCACTCTGCTGGCGTTGCGTCTGACCCTCTCCCTCCCCATTCAGCCCCAGGCTGCCTCTCCCGCCCCTGGAGGTGTGCGGAGCTGTGCGGAGCTGTGCGGGGCGTGCTTCCAGCCCTGCCATTTGAAGAGAGTGACAGGACAGCGTGGCTCATGACAGCTTTGCTGCTGGATACCTTCTGTTGAGAGGAAACGCGGGAGGGACGCAAGTCCGGGGAGCTCTGGGGAGCACAGAGCGGGGAGGTGTGTGCGTGCCCCAGAACGGGCAGTGCGCGCGCCTCGGCGCCAAGGAAGTTGGGGCGTATTTACACGCGGGCTGGCCGAGCGGAAGGACGTAGGTGATTGAGATCTAAGTGCATTTTGCTTTGTTGATTTCTTAATTAAAATTAGGAGAAAATGTAATGAGGATATTTATGTTAATTAGGAGGAAATAAACATTCTAGCACATGTAGTGGTTTTAAAGGCTAAATTCTGTTGAGTTGTATATTTATGTTTGCTTTTAAATATGTTTTCATTTTAAACTGTGATTATTTTAGGGTGCACTAGATCTGTCTGATGCACATTCCCCACCAAAGTCACCGGAAGAGAGAACAAGCCCGCACACAGCTCCCAGTAAGGTGAGTGGCGCACAGGGGTCCGGGGCCCGCACCGCCATGTCCCGGTGCTGGTCAGTTCCGGGGCCGCGCTCGTCCCCCGATGAAGTGTGTGTCAGAGAATGGAAACGCGGGGAGCCGCTTGGCTGGGAGTCTGGGATGCTGTGCCAGAAGGCAGAGCGCTGGGACGTGCTGCACTCACACAGCGGCGGGGTGCGCCAGTGCTCGGGGTGGTCCCCTTCGCTGAGCAGGGTGTTGTGGCCGGTCGCTTAGGAGTTCCTGTCTCGGGAACATCAGGCTCCAGAACGGCAAGTCGTGTGTTCGCAGTTGTAAATCACGAGCCGTTTTGAGGATTCGTAAGGAAAGCTGCGTGCCCTGGTGACATCTGTGTGTGCGGCTTATGAATTTTTAAAATGAAGGCCTCTGATTGCGGGGACTCGGGATCGCAGAGAGATGAATGGAGTGGGACACGTGACTGCAAAGCCGGGGGTATTTGTGCCGATAAGGGGACTGGGTGGGAAGGTGGTCACCAGGGAGCGTGCTGCCCCCTGCGTCTCGTCCGAGTGGACCGCGCGTTGACAGCCGGCCCGGCCTCCCGAAGGGCGGCTTTGCAGCAGGTCGCGCGCTGTGGCGGGTCCTCTGGCTTCCGTGCCCGGGGCGGGTCCCTGGCGCTGTGCTGGCTGCCACATGTGGGTGGTGTGTTCAGTGAGCGGACGCGTGCAGGGCCGTAGTCACGCTGCTGCATGTCCTTTCAGACGCCTGGGCTCAGGACGCTGACGCACGGTCCCTGCCGTTATTTGTTTCCGGTTCTTCGATGTCGCTGTTCCTTTTTATCTTTTACATTTAGAAATGAAAGGGATGTTCCGCTTTATTTCGGCCCAAGGAGAGCGACCGTGGTACTGTGATAGCGGTTCCTTGTGTCCTGTTGGCCTGTTCTGTGGGGAGGGTTGGTCCCTGAAGGCTTCTGCCGTCGATGCCATGGGAGGCCGTGCCCATGGTGACAGACAGAACAAGGTCATGAGTATGTTTAAAAAGCCCCTTTAACTGAATTGCCAGATGGAAGATCCTTTGTGAAAAAGCTTTGCTTTCTGTGAAAATATCTGGCTTTAGAGGGGTTCAGATTAACACGTTTCAGAATACTCAGTACCTATGGCAGCGAGCTGCTTGGCAGTTCTCTTTTTATCAGATTATTTGTTTTCTAAAGCAAATTAGCAATACCAATCTTCCACGCGTGGTATGTCTTCAAGGTAAAATGTTAATGTCTGCTTAACATTCTCCCTGAGATTTAAGAATGGCCGTAGGAGTCTTGAGCGTTAAGTCGGGTCAGTAAATGTCGCTCTGAACAGCCCCAGAGGCGCGAGGGCGATGCTACGTTCAGGTGCGTTCAGAGAACAGCAGTCTGTCCCCCGGGTGGGGCCTCGCTGCTGCCACCGTCAGAAGGTTCCCGCGCCTCGGTCCTCAGCCATCAGAGCTGGTCCCATCAGAGCTGGTCTCGCAGGGGCCCGGGGTGGGAGCTGCTTTAAAGTCAGACAAGGCCTTCCGGGGCAGCTGAGTGCAGTTCCCCTGTCGCCCTGAAGGGTTTGGGTCTGCGCTTCCAGTCCTCTCCTGGCCCTTCTCTCGCCTGGCTTCCCCTTTCTGTCTGGTCTTTGGGAGGCTGGGGCTAGGTGGGCCCGCGCCCGAGGGTGCCCGCCCCGTCCGGAGGCCCTGGGGAGAGCACTAGGGACTCGGGGCTCCAGCCCCTCCCTGGGCTCCTGCTCTGTGCGCCCTGAGGAAGGGGCAGGGGGCAGGCCCGCTCTCTCAGAGGCTGCCGAATGGGGCCTGGAGAAGAGGCTCTGCACATGCGCAGCGTGGGCGGGGTGCGCCGTGTGCAGGCATCTGGCCAGGTGGCCAGGTAGCCGCTGGACAGAGGGGGCGACCACGAGCCGAACCTCTTGCACGAGACAGCTAGGAAAAGGCCAGGAAAAGTGGGTTTTAAAAAGGAACATATTAATTTGATTTTTCCACTTTTAAGAAATGTTCTAATAGGAATCTCTTTAGTTTCGTTATGAATTAGTTGACTTTTAAAGATTTATATGTTGTGGTAAAATGTCATTTTATTCTCATGCTCAGATACCAAGGTATAAAGGACAAGGTAAGAAGAAGACAAGCGGGCAGAAGTCTGGTGCCAAGGTAACATGCATGAGGGCGGAGGGCAGAGCAGCCCGTGGGGCGGACCGCGGCCGTGCGGGCCACCTCCGGGCCTTGAGTTCCTATTACCTGGGCCCGTGCGGGGCGGACCGCGGCCGTGCGGGCCGCCTCTGGGCTTTGAGTTCCCGTTGCGGGGGTGAAGTGTTCTTTCGAGGTCACTTTCTTTTATCTGTGGCAGAACATGACAAAGTCACGGTGGCATAAAACAAGTAATTTGACTTTCGCTTTTTAGCCAGATGAAAAGTCATACTGTTGAAGTTTTAAACTGTGCTGTCAGTTTTATTTTGAGAATTCCTTGAGTTTTGGCAATAAAAAAGTTGAAAATATTTATGTTTTTAATGTCTGGTCACGTACACAATCCTGATATAATTTCTGTCTGAGGCGAATAAGAGCATCGTACTACCTTTTGGATGAGTTCCAATAAAGGCTAAATTTAGTTTCTTTCAAGACGGTTTTGTGCTTAGCAGCTTATGAACCATTGCACGTTGGTCCGCCCCTCGGAGCAGGCACACACAGGTGAGGAGGGCAACTGGCTGCTTCTGTTTCCTCCCCCAATGACCACAAAAATTGTCTAAACCAGTAGATTAGCTCCTTTTAAAATTTAAATGCTAGAGGTCTTAGAAGCATTATGAATCAGTACAGTTCTCATAGTTACTTTGAATAAGATAGTTATTTAATTTTTAATTTTGTGAGATTCACTAGTCCTTGTCGAACTTTTGTTTATGAATAAATTATCGAGGACCTCCAAAGTTAAAGAGTTTTTAAAAACTGTTCGTTATGTTAGCTGGCTTTAGTTTTCTTGGTTTCAATGGTAAATTGCTGCTATTGTATGTACTCACTATTTTTTATGCATTACTACATCAGAGGATGTTTTAGAGTGTCACTTAGCAAGTGCGTGAACACTGACAATCATGAGAACCATCGCGTTGAGTGCTCGGGGCACGGGGTTTGACACAGCCCTCTGAGCGGAGAGGTGGGCACTCCTTGAGAAAGATAACAAAATGTAAAACAGCAGGTTTTTCATAGGTACCATAAATCAGTTCATTAGACTTTTTAAAAAAATTAAGCACGTGTTTCATGGTATTGCATTTTTATGACCTTGTTGGTGTCGCGGGTTATGAAGAAGTCATCGCCCCGCAGAGCCACGGCGCGCTGAGACGCGCATTCACGCCGCGAGGACGCTTCCTCCGTCGCTTGCTTGCGGATCTTGT